TCATAAAATTATTATAAACCATGAATTTTGATTAGAGAATATAAAACAGGASTTAGCATACATAACTTAGTACATATTTTGTATAATTTACAATACTATTTCAATTAAATTATTAATGTTAATATCTTTTTCATAGGTTTTTTGACTTCACTCTAATTCAGTTGTACTTTGCACTATATTATAAAATTAATACCATTTCATGTTTTTGCACTGTAAGATGTTTTAATTTGTTCATCTGAGTAAATCATTAAACCAGAGAACAAATCTTAACTATCTAAGTATGATATTGTACTAAGATGTATTAGCCCTGGTTCAGATATTGATCTTTTGTCACAATCTAAATGCTGGAGTTGAGTTTATGAGCATTTCTTGCTCTKAATTTATTGAATTTATAGGTAAATGTCAACTGATTTGGACTACAMACTTCTCAGTGAAATACATTGCAAATTAACTATATCAACGTCTGAAATGGGCTATTTGTGAAAATATTTTCACMTTATAGTTTCTTCAAAAGTAAAATAGGTAGAATTAATTGACAAATGATGATTGAATTCAAATAAACATTAAAATGAACAAAATATTGTGATGTTATAAATCGGGGAGYAGGGTAGCTTTCAATCAATTTTTTTGTAGTTTACAACATGAGAGGCCGTGTTGCCGATCGAGATTGTAATTCCCATACAACAGGGACGTTAATTTTGTGAACGACTTATAAAACTCCAACACAAATTAACATGAATTACAGTGAGATAAATGACGAAAAATGACAATTAAGGTAACTGCTGAGTTTATATTAGTCGCTACTAAGCATGCACAATTTACTGCAACACAGAACATTTTGAATAATTATCCATCCCACATGGAAAGCAAGGCATCTGTTGCATAACCGAGTTCTGTTATCCATCTTTGATTGCTTTAAAACCTAGTGAAGGTCTATGATGCAATACTAAAACTGAGACCTTTGCTAGTGTTGGGTTGTCTCAATGGTGACGACCGTGTTGTAAATCTGATACAACAATAGTGTTGTATCAGATTTACAAGGTCAATCACCTGATTAAATGGACAGCCCTTATTGGAGTAATAGCTCATGCATTATTAATAAGTTTTATAAGTAATGTTTACAACATGAGCGGCCGTGTTGTATGGGATTTTACAATCTCGAGCCGAAGGCGAGAGATTGTAAAGCCCATACAACACGGACACAAATGTTGTAAATTACTTGTGAAACGTTTAGGTGTATACGTTCATAATCTACTTAAAACTCAAAGATAAAATTGAATTTGGCTGAGAAAATTAGATTTAAAGTTTATGCAAATCAAGACAGTTTTGTATCAAATATTA